TGGCCCTTAGCGACTTGCCGTCAATCCCGTATGCACGAAGGCATGTCCACAGACTGTTGCGTGGGATCCGGTCATAAGCTTTTTATAGGTCCACAAAACTCATGTACACCGGCTGGGCGTACTCCCACGATTTTTCAACAATCTCGCGCAGGGCAAATGTATGGTCAGAGGTGTTTCGACCGGGCCGGAAGCCACACTGCTCTCCTTGGATCTTGAGCTCAACTATTTCACGGTACCTCCTTTCTGGCATTCTTGCGTAAACTTTAACTGTGAAGCTCAATAACGATATTCCCCTGTAATTGGAGCACTCCTTGTGATCTCCCTTCTTGAATACGGGTACAACAACTCCCGTTCTAAAGTCCGCTGGTGTCTTTCCCGCAGTGATCGCAGTTTGACAGACACGTGTTAGCCAGCACATGCCTTGTTCGCTTAATGCCATGAACATCTCAGGGCGGATTGCGTCAATTTCAGCAGCTTTTCCATTTTTTAAGCTTTTCACAGCTTGTGTAATTTCATCTACAGTGTAAGTAATATCCGTATCCTTCTGCTCTACAGGCGAGTCTTCCTACGGTTTGTTCGGGTTTAGGCGTTCCTCAAATTGCCTTCTCCATCGTCTAAAGTTGTACTTATCCTTGATAAGAGGGCGTCCAGATCTGTCCTTCAATACTCTGAGACTGCTTGTCTTTTCACCTCGGAGCCGGCGGATGGTGTGCCAGAATACCTTGTTTGCCGTGTGGAAATTCGATTCCAACACCTCACCGAACTTCTCCCAGGAATCAGCCTTTGCTTTTGCCACTCCTATGGCTGCTGCCTTGCGTGCCTCGACATCGCACGCGAGTATATCGTTCCTTTTTTGCAAGCCATTTCTTGAACGCTGCTTTCTTCTTTTCAACTGTCAGTTGTACCTCTCGTGTCCACCACGAAGGTTATTTCTGACCTCCAGGCGGCTGGCTAACCTGTTTATATCCGCAACATTCTTCGGCGGCCTCAAGTATGCCGCTTTTAAACAGATGCTACTCGGTTTCAACACTGGGGTCTGTTCAAACCGTCATGCGATGTTGTTTGCAAATTTCGCTCTCGTGTCCACCGAAGACAATGTTTCCCATTTGATTCTCCGGTTGATTCTGCCACCGGATCTTCGTATGGTACTCCGTTTCTTATAGCGCAACTTTCCAACAACAGGTTGATGATCGGTTGATAGCTCTGCTCCTCTCTTAACGCGAGCATCCATTACTGAGTGTCTTAGGTGAGACGATACGATTATCAAATCGATCATCGGCTTCTGTGCACAAGCTGGTACCAAGTTCCCGGTACCGGGTGTACTGATGCACCCTTCGATGCTCGAATGATGTGTTCTTAATGGGCAGTCCGTTGTTTGCTTAAATC